GAGTCGTTAAAAATGGTGTCAACGGCCGGGTTCGAACCGGCGACCTTCTGCGTGTAAAGCAGACGTGATAACCACGCCGACTACAACAATATCGACCTTTCACATGCATAATAAACTGAGATCCCATTAAAATGTTGGCGTAGGATTTTTGGATTAGGACCCAAACACGAATTCCAATTTAATGACTGTCTTATGGGGTCGGCTTTAAATCAGACCAGGTCGCAACAGAAAATTTGATTTTTCGACTGCCTTTACGCACGCAATCTTCGCACCTTTCACTGCAACCAGTTGTTCTCGACTAAGTACTTAAGTATTCCAGCGTGTCCACACTTCGAAGGTCTAACCTGTTCTGAGAACAGCTCGAACAATTTCTATGATGTTTTCAATGAGATGACAGTTTCGCTTTGCAGGGACGGCTCAATAGAAGCCAACCCTGGAAAGAAGACGTAAATGATCAACTACCGAATATCTGCGTTGACACGATTCATAATCCGATTCCCAATCGCCCATAATTGCAGATAAAAAGCTAATTTTATTTAGGTAAGGATAGCGACTTTCATTCATTCTCAGCTCGACCTGAGAACAGCCAAATGATACGTACGCATTAGTTCCATCCATAAGACATCCGGATGCTTAATATTCAAGCAAAACCAAGTGTAAATCTGATAACGTTTAACAATAAAATGAAAAGGATGATCACACGATTTGAATCACTTGTCGCACGCCTAGGAAGCGATCCAAACCACTCTAATTGCAATGGATCGTATACATCGTAGGGGACAGCTTGCAAAAGCTAACTCTAAACTATCATTTATTAACTTGAAGCACTAAAAGCTAAATCGGGACAATTAGGTTTGGCTCTAAGCTCAGTTTAATCGACTTAGCACACTAACTCCGCTTTTTGAGCTGTACAGGCATTGCGAAAAGGGTTCTGTGGACATTGGAAAATATAACTTTATGTAACCTCGGCAGTAGAAGTCGTTTGATAATCCAGCAACGAGCCGTATATGCGTGCCCGCGTATGTGTTAGAGCGCACTAGTAGCGGTATACTACATGCTTCTCTGGCGTAATATACAGAAAGGTATGACGTTATTACGCCCTCCAGTGAAATGCAGATATTTCGAAGGCTGAAGAGGCATTGAAAGACTTCCAAAAATCTCCTAAACTGCGAACTAAGCGCGCGGTATAGTACAATACTTGGTACGCATTTAATCTGTGCTTAGTTTAGCATCGGCTGCCAGAATGGACCAAACAGCATAAGGCTAGATAGCCACTCAATATGTCACTAAAACAAATCGAAGTTGTTGCCAACATGCGCAGCGGACGTATTGCGCTCCAGATTCAAGTCATCCGCACCGCCCGGCAGCAATAGCGCATACGACGGCACCGAGTGCTGAGTAAACGCCTAATTTATATTTTTCGTCTACACATGCTATTGCGAGAGCGTAACTATTTGACAACTACAGTCTTGACAGCTAACGTGTGTTGCGCCTGGCCATGCATGTACAAGGCGCGGTGCGAAAATCTTTATCAACACGATCTCAATTTCACTAGCTGCGTACGACTTGCTTCTCGAAGCTTTCAGTCGCCACTTTGTCGTCAAATCAGAGCCTTCGAAACATGGGCGGCCAGCTCGATTTGTTTCGAAGAACAACGTTCTTGCGTGTTTGTTACACCTACATACTGCTGCCGTGGAGAGCAAAATCTTGTGCGAACTCTTCGGGGTTCCTCCCTCTACAATGAGCCGAGCACTCAAAAAGGCTGCGATCGCGCTTGTTGTTGCTTTGGGAGATGTACCATTGGCCGCTGTGAGATGGATTCATATCGTGGAGATTGATCACTGCAATAGATGATTCTATCGCACGCTTTGCCCGCTGTACCTCATCGGGACATACACCATTACCTGTCTAATAGATTACATGTAAATTAATAATTTTAAAAATAATTTGTTCTTTAACAGCGCTTATCTGAGGGCATTGGAAACCGCACGAGCTTCTGGAACTTACGCTTTAGGCTTTCCCCATCTCGTTCAGTCCACCCCGTAGGTATGTTTGTATTGAATTGAGAGGCAACGTTTTGTCACTGCTCTGAGCCGAGCGGTAATATATCTTGAACGATGTTCAGCATTCCTGAAAGACGCGAATAAGCTTAGCGAATTAAACACCAGTAGATTAACCGTATCTGTTACTTATGACTTCAGACGTGGTGAAGTTCTTGCCCTTGGTCGTGCCCTTTGCCTTTCGCACCCGCTCTTACAGTGAAATTGCAAACTGGTAGAACTCGTCAGGACCCATGCTGTTCAAGCACACGCTGAGGCGAGCCCCCTCTAATTCGATTGTTTGGTCCGTACCAAACTTAGCGTTTGGTTAGACGTCCTCTGCGTCTGACCGTCGTTTGGTACGCCTTTTGTACACACATGGTACACAACATAGAAGCGGTTTTCTTTTGGTACTTAAGTCATTTTTGAAAGCCTCTCATTAGGTACCCTACAAGCAGCTTTTTGTAGGTTTGCATGGGTTGGGAGTCGTGGCCAGCTTTGATCGATCATATCATCGCGTGCACTCGTGTGTGGTTAGAGCGGCGTATAAACCCTTTGTTTCTAAAGAAAGCGTTTGTTTTAGAGCCACTCACATATAATTTTTGTTGCTATAAAATTTGTACCTCGGAGTAATCGGCCTTTTGCAACCATGGTTGTATTTTCTAGCATTTCTGACTTCTCATTGGCTGGAAAGTGGTTATCTTGCAGTATCGGCAAGTTGTGGTGCAAGAACTACGGCAAGAATCATGGTGTCGTTTGCTAGATTTGTTGCATAGAGCGTTTGTATTATCGCTAGCAAATGCAACCCCGCCCATACAAAAATGCAATGACGCATTTTCTCTCACGGTTGCACGCTGAACACAAAGAGATTTGCTGGCCGGCACCCACTACAAACATGACATCAAAACGCTACAAAGCAATCCTAGTGGAGTTCATGAGCTTTAATGATGGCCGGGCCTACACAACGGAGACGGTGTTCAGCAGCGAGGAGCTTCTTAGCGTTAAGCCGGAGGATGTCTGCAGATGGATGAACTTTCGTGCCTTCGGAGAAGCGTATCCAGGCGAAGATGCCAAACCTGTTTGCGCTAGGTCCTCAACTCTTGCCTACGCAAAGAAAGCGATTTCCAGTTTTATGCCTCGTATTGCTGTTTCGTGGGACTCCATCCGAACAGAAGGCAATCCTACGCGCTCACAGCTGGTAAACAAGCTCATTAAAACAGTGAAACACTTCGAGGTTCGTCGAGAAGGGGTGCAGTCGGCAGCTCGTCGTCCAATAGAGTACGAAGAGTTCCTCAACCTGATTGAGCTGGTACACGCTACACAAGACAACAAGAACCTGAAGTACGTCGTATGCAGTGTATTAACGCTACAGTGGCATATGATAACAAGAGTCGACGACATGATGCAGCTCAAGTTTGATAGTTTCTCCCACAATGTCCAGCACCCACGGACACTATTGTGTCAGCTTCGGTGGTCGAAGAACATTTCAGAGGAGCGTGACGCTCCAGAACAAATATTGTTGGGAAGCGTGGGTCCACGGCTGTGTGTCCTTCTTAATCTTGCTATTCACGTCGAGATGCTTGCTGATCGCGGCAATTCGTCTTTCCTTTTCGGGAATCCGCAGGATGAAGATCGAGTAGCTCACCGCTTTCTACAAGAGATGTTTGACAAAGAGGAATTCCACAAGCTTAAGGGAGGTAATTTAGGTACTCATAGTTTGCGTAAGGGAGCTGCGACGTATGGTACGAGAAGTGGTTTGCCAAAAGACTTCATTAACCGACGCGGAAGGTGGCGCACGCAGAAAAGTGTGTATATCGACGATACACAGCCGTATCCGGACGCTGTTGCAGCAGGTGTGTTGACGGGGCCCCAGGGGCCATGCTTTTACGCCGCCAGGGATGGAATAGAAAGTATCACCGATGATCGACTCGTAAATCAGATTTGCAGTCATATCAAGATGAAAATGGGGAGAGATATAGCCCGAGAGCTTGGTGTCGTGCTGTTGTGGGCTGCCCTGATCCCTGTTGGTACCTTCGACTACGATCTAGTTCCTGCACCACTTAAGCAGCGAATCGTCGCTGCGTACGCTAACGCTGAGGCAACGTGGAATTTAATCAAGTACAGCGTGTACCTATTCAGGTTACTGGCGAAGGCGCCCAACTGCAGTTGATTGAGCTCCATGAAAGTAGCTCCAACATTTCTGTCGGCGAACCTGTTACACAACAGATCCGTCGCAGCGGTATGACTATGGACAGCACTCGAAAAGAGTTTACAGCTGTTCACCCACAATTATTTAGTGTCAAAGACCAGATCGGTAGCGTGATGAATGAAGTTCTCCGTCTGAGAACAGATATGCACCGCGAGTATCAGAGAACACAGGCCGAGCTACGTCAAATAGCACTGCAGCCAGTGGCTCGCACAGTACAAACACCTGGTGCTACAATTCGTTCCTCTCGCGAAGAACCTATGTACTGTAGTGTACGCCGCATATCAGCTACATTGTCAAAGCGATCACGAGATTTATTTGAGCTTTGGCACGAGTTTGAATTTGGATTAAATGGAGCAAAACCGGCAAAGGATTTTACCAGAGCTGATCGGGGAGCAAATAAATTTGCGTTCTCTCGGCGTAAAGTGTTCTGGGACGTCGTTACGCATCTTATCCGAGCGGGATTTACTAGTGACGTTGCAATTAATAAAATTTACGAGGTATACGGGCGCCAGCGTCCAGTAACTGCAATCCTTGTTGCGCTTCGCCAGGACAAGAAGAAAGGTGGACACCCATCGCTGTGTGTATAGTCTCTTAGCGTGAAGGCATCAGACCTGAACAAGTTGTCACGCTTAGCCCACGATCCGTCTCGACGTTTAAAGTTCAGTGCATGCATATACGTGTTAGAGCCCTTGCAACATTAGTCGGTATTCAAAGTACAGCAACAAGCAGGCACAGTCCTGCAGTCACCCCGGTGCAACACGAACAAAGCTACAGATAGTTTTCTTTTTGAATAGGCCACTCTTCTCCAAGCTCACTGACATGCTTGAAAGCTTGACTAAGTCGCATTC